GGGGGGGGGGGGGGGGTGAAACGCGTGGGAGTTCCAGGTGAGTCCCGGATCACGCTCTGTACACGAGTGGCTTTCGCTCCGGTAGATTCGCCAGTTTTTTGTTGTTTTTATTTTGTACGTCGGGGCGCTTTGTGAACACACCACGGGCGCTCTCGCTACTGCACGTGTCTGACTGTTGAAGTTTTTTTCCACTTGCCGGAGGAGTATAAGATGAATCGGGATTGAGGAGAGAACTTCCCACGTTTGATCGTATAAAATACTCAGGGATTTGCAGAGTACTTTCATGATTTTGCGGCGGAGGGGGGTGGGGATTTTTCGGGGGGTCAACGGTTTTTTTAGGCGACGGACGCACGGGTGGAAATGAAATTTAATTTAATGGAGAGATTAGGTGGTTTTTCAGGAGAGTTGGATTTAAGTCGATTTCAATGAAAATTCACAAAAATTCTGCTTTTTTGAAAGGCAGGAATAGAAAAATTTGCCAATTCACGGGAATTTTCGGTTAAAATGTGAATGTTTAGTACCAAATTGCGTTGAATTTTGAAATATTTGAAAATTGAAGAATATATTGAGCTAAATTTTCTGGATTTTGATGGGAAAATTTAGTTTACACTGGAATTTCCCGGAATTTTGCTGTCGAAAACTGTAAATTTTGGTTCAGTTATTGCAGAGACAATTAATAGAATATGAGGGGAATTTAGATATATATATTACTGAATTTCTAATCAATTGAAAATGATAAAATTTCGAATTGAATGGGAAATTCAATGGAATTTCAAATTATTGAATGATAAAAATGCAAGAATTCTCCAATTTATCAGAATTTTCTGTCAAATTGTGAATGTTCAGTACCAAATTACGTTGAATTTTGAAATATTTGAAAACTGAAGAATATATTGAGCAAAATTTTCTGGATTTTGATGGGAAAATTTAGTTTACACTGGAATTTCCAGGAATTTTGCTGTCGAAAACTGTAACTTTTGGTTCAGTTATTGCAGAGACAATTAATAGAATATGAGGGGAATTTAGATATATATATATATATATTACTGAATTCCTAATCAATTGAAAATGATAAAATTTCAAATTTTATGGGAAATTCAATGGAATTTCAAATTTTTGAATGATAAAAATGCAAGAATTCTCCAATTTATCAGAATTTTCTGTCAAAATATGAATGTTCAGTACTAAATTACGTTGAATTTTCAATTTCCAATGACGAAATTCCCTGAAATTCCAACGGAACTTCAGATAAAAATTTCCAAACCTGTTGAGAATTTTCTGCCAAAAATCCTAAGTAATGTTAGAAATAGCTGAATTTAAAATTAAAATTGCAAAAAATCCCTTGAAATCATCTCTCGCAGGCTATCAATTCCCTAAAATGAGAAAATTTCACATCATAATTCATCAGGTGCCAAATTGCTCCCCCTCTTTTCATTTTAGTAAGACTATTCATTTTCTCATCAACTTTTAAATTTTCAATCACAAAATTCCTTGAAATTGCAATGAAATCTCTGCTAATAACTTCCAAAACTTGAGAATTTTTCGCCAAAAATGCTCAACAATGTTAAAAAAAGCTCAATTCAAAATTAAAGTAGCAAAAAATCCCTCAAAATTTTCTCACAGACTATCAATTTCCTAAAATGAAAAAATTCCAAGAAATCACAATTCATCAGGCGTCCAATTACCCCCCCCCCCCCGCCCCCATTTTAATGAGAATGTAATTCGGAAAATGGGAACAATGAGGTCAGCGATATGAGATGAATCTCGCTGGCGGCGTCGAGCGAACAATCACTCTGACACTCTCATAATTGTGAAATGAAAGCATCGAAAAATCCGACAGCCTTCGAAAAAGGAGAAAAAATTAATATTTCTAGTTCATGCACGAGCCATAAAGTTCCTTCCACGTCCCTTCCAATTCCCCAGATGATTCATCTTACGTGCACGGTCCATCGGATGTTAATTCCGAATGAAATAAATCATCCAACGTAATTCGTAAAAGTTGAATTCATAAATCTCCATTTACCTACCACTCGCGAGTGTTGCTCCAACATTTCTGTTTGACCCTCTTGTGGATTCACGTGCACTCAGTGAAAATACGCGCAGAAAAAACACCGGGAGTTCCCAAAAAACAAAATTAATGAATTCAAGAGGAACTCAGTGGATAAAAAAGCTCGGGGGGTTTTGTGGAGCGGACGGAGAGGAAAAAATTTGAATAGACCAGTCTATTTGAATTTTTTATTCAGCTCGCAATTAGCTTCTTCTTCTTCTAATTATTAACTTTTATTTAATGCCGCGTTTAATTGATTCTCCTTCAGAGGTGCAATTTTTTTTTTACTCTGATCGGAGTGCAAACTTAAAATAATTGAAGGATTTAAGGAGGGTTACTATTGGAAATTTTGCACCGAAATTTCCGGTACACTTGAATTAAATTTTCATCACTCTATAGTTCCACTGGACTTTCATGGAATTTTGTCATTGAAAATTCAGAATTTTGTGGAAAAATCAATGGAAACTGTAATTTCAGTTCAACTATTCCATTAAAATATCAATGATAAATAATACAAGACTTCCAAAATTCTCATTCAACATTTCGTTCCTCATACTCCAGTAAATTCTTCTCCATTCCAAAAAGCAATTCCGTAAAACAGTTCAAGCCGACTTGGCACTTGGCCGAGTTTTCAACGAATATCTTCGAATCTAATGGAGATAACGAATTTTTCGTCATAACCTTTTTTATAGAGCGAATTGAGGGCCACAAAAAAGGTCATGACAAAAATGTTTCTATCTCCCCTAGATTTCGAGATATTCACTGAAAACTTGAGATTTTTCCCCTCAATAATTCAGTAGCGTTAATCTTTACCTGAATTTTCGGGGAATATCTCCGATTCTAAGGGAGATAACGAAATTTTCATAATAGCCTTTTTTGTAGGGAAAATTGAAAGCTACAAAAAAGGTCATGACAAAAAATTTGTGATCTCCCCTAGATTTCCAGATATCCATTAAAAACTGGCCAATCATTAAAATCGACTCAAACCCTTTTGCCACTTCGCGACTGAATGACCCCAAGACGAATGAACAATTCCCCGCAATTCACTCGTCACGCGAGATATTCGCGACCCAAGTGATCATGAAGCCTGAAGACGTGTCGCAGTTTAATTAAACATTCCCGTCATTGAAGCGGCGAATAAAACGGACGCGATAGGGAGAAAAGAGTGATAAGCTGACTCACCCGACGGCTTCCTTGTAGAAGACGCTGAAGAGGGCTATTCCCACGCCGGTGCCAGCTTGCACGACCATCTCAACGAACTCCCGTCGTTTCTTGAAGTAATGACCGAGGATCAAGCCAGCAGTTTCCCGCACCAGTCCAGCCCCAGCGCCCAGGACAAGACCGTAGCTGTTGCATTTTGCAAAAGTAAATAGCGTGAGTGCCGGGGATTTAACTGAAGAGGACGAGGGAGAGACGGGTGAATAGCGGATGCACTGTGCGGTATTGAAGCAAACAGTCGACACCCTGGCGTCAACGAGTATTGGAGCTTTCTCGTTATGCTCTTGCGCCCCAACGAACGCGCCTGTTTGCCATTCTTCTGCTGCTGTGCATATTCCTTCGTTATTTTCGTCTTCTTTTTTTTCTTTTCGATAAGCTTTTCCTAATCTCGGGGAACGCTTTTTTGCTTCGATATCGCTCTAGTTGTTGGAGCAAATATTTAATCATTTCTTTATGGATTTATTCGTCTATTTTATTTACAAAATTTATTTTTTATTTATTATTTTACTATTTTCAACATGCAACTGATTCTTGTAGATGATTTATCGTTTTTCTATACGATTATATTTTTATAAAAACAGCTTTAATGCGATCGTTTCATGGCTATAAATAAAAAGCTTTTGATGGAAATTAATGAAGAGCTTTAGATTGAGATTAATTGATAGGTTGTCATTAATTATTAATTATTGCCAGTTGAAGGCTTTTGATTTACTTTAGATTGGTCCCGCGAAGTTAATAAACAGCTTTTGATTAAAATGAATAAAAAGCTCTTAATGCAGATTAATGAAGAACATTAGAGAGAGATTGATTAAAAGCTTTTCATTAATCATAAAAATAATTTCTGTATTAACTTGAATGAAAGTTAATGAAAAAATATCGATGGAGATTAATCAAAAGCTCTTGATAACGTTTAATAGGAGAATATTTGTCATTTTAATATGATGTTTCTGATGAATATTAATGAAAAGCTTCTAATTCGTGTTAATAACAAGCTTTTAGTGAACATTAATAAAGACTGATTGAAAGCTTTTCATTAATCTTAGTAAGAAATCCTTTATTAACTTAAATTAGAATATTCAATTGATGTTAATTCGAAGCTTTTAATCGAGATTAATGGAGATCTTTTAATTAAAATCTACGAGAAGTTTCAAATTAAATTTCATAAGGAGCTTTCAATGGAAATTAATCAAAAGCTCTTAGTGAAGTTCAATAGGGAGATTTTTTATTGCTTCTAAAAATTTTGAAGATGTAAATATTCGATAATTTTAGTAACTAATTGTGGTTAACGAAGAACTCTGAATGAAGATAACTAAAAAGCTCTCGATGAAATTCGCTAGAATTTTTCTTATTTTTGGTAAATCATAAGGAGCTGTCAATCACGATTAATAATTTTATAATTTCTATTAGTGAATTAATTTCAAATAATGACAATGAAAAGCTCCGCGGAGGTGAGTGAAGGGCGTCGTTCGGTCCATTTCTAATACCCCAAATATGTTTGGCATAGACCATGGACTGAATTTTTCGGCCTAAATGACGGCATGAGAAATTGCTTCTGAATATGAGAGTGCAAATAAATGAGCAACCAAATTGCGTGTGACATTTTGAAAACGAGACAAGTTTATTTTCAACCGTTGCGGACGAGATGCAGATATTTTACGGAAAACTCGGCATAAACTCTCTCTCTCTCTCGCCTCATTTGAATTCATTCTCACCGGAGTTTATAATTTGTGCTTCATCTAAATATTCAGTTCCTCCCTAATTATCGTTATATTTATTTCCGTGCACCTCGACTGCGCGGAAATTATTTATTCTGAGGCAATGAACAGTAGAAATTAATTCATGACATTTTTAACTTTTGTTTTTTCTGTTATCGCGTATTTTCGTTTTATTTTGTTTCATTTATATTTGACTTCTCGCGTTCATTTAAGCATGGCTTCAGTTAAACTTTCAGTCTCAAGTAAAATCTCGAGTGAATACTTATTATTATCACTATTATAATTATTTGGATTTTTTTATAATTATTTCTTTGAGAACTTTATGGAGTAAATAAAATTTCTAAAAAAAAATTGAGTTGAAAATTTTGTTAAGGCAAAAATCTGAGCTAATTATTTATTAAAATCGTAAAATACTTTTGTGATGGACAGTAGAAATTAATTTATGATATTTTTGTATTTCTGTTATCGCGCATTTTCATTATTTCTATTTTATTTCTAATTTATTTCATTTATATTTCATTTCTCGCGTTTATTTGGGCATGGCTCCAGTTAAATTCTCAGTCTCATTATTATTTTATCTCAATTATTTATATTTTTTATAATTATTTCTTTGAGAAGTTCATGAAATGAATGAAATTTCTAAAAAAAACTCGAGTTGGAAATTTTGTTAATGAAAAAATCTCGGTTAATTATTTCCGAAAATCGTAAAATAATTTAGTCATGGAGTCCTATTCAACAAATTGAAGCGGTCGACTCAACCTTTGATCAGATCACCTCAATGATTCTCCTCGTGAACATACCTTATCACCACTTGATGCATGTGAAGAGCAAACGAAGTGAAGAGCGAAGCGAGGGCAAAAACGAAACCGCCAATTACAGCAGTGAGCCTCGTACTTCCTCGCCGACACGCACCCACTACCAGTGGAGCCGAACCACGTGATACAGCAGCACTCAGAGCTCCGGCCCAGGCTGAAATAAACCGAAAAACGAATCCTCTTTTAAAAAAGGAATGCAACGTTTTCAGTCAGCAATCTATGCTTGACTTGGGATTATTTCCATCCTAAACTTAAATATCTTATCTCTATATAAAAAAAATTATATATATTCATTTATTTATTTATTTATCATTTTTCTACATTCGAAAAAAAATTCCGTTATTTTTACTTCAATTTTTTTCAATGAAAGTAAATTTCCTGTCATTTTGAAAATCTAATGAGTAGAATTAAAATAATCAACGCTCGGCTAAGATTAGAATTCTTATTCCATGAACATGACATGACTTGGCGGAATAGATCGGTGACAGAAAATGTTTCAACAATTTTTTAATATAGAGGCTATTCATGAAAAAAAATAGAATTCATGACACAATCCTCTGAACTATGATAAAATGTCAAAACAACATCATATAACTTTCGATTTCTTCTCCACATTCTGTTCTAACTTTCATTAATTCCAGAAATGAATCGCTCTCAAAAACAAAACGAACAATGAATAAATATTAACCATTTGTGACGATGACTCAGCTTAGCCTGAGACCCTGGTTGAATTAAATTTGATAATTCAAGGGCCGGAGAAATCAGTGCTCTTGCACTTTAGCATAATTCGGGAGAGGAAAAATCAGATCGTGTTCCATCAAATATCGAGGGGTTCGGCTTCGCTAGGTGGCTATTATGGCCCGGGCAACGATACCAGGGCGGGATTTAGCACTGGAACGAGACGTGAATGCTCAATGTGGTCACTCTCATTGGATATTCCATTTCGATTTTCAGTTTCAAGTGGTAAACCATTCGTCTGGAATTGGATGAACTCTGAATGAATTCACTGGGTGAAATAAATTATATAGAGGAGATTCCGGGGTTAATAGGGTGAGGAGGGATTGGTAAGGATCCAGAGGGTGGGGTAGGTCTGGGAGATGAATGGATTTATGATCTGGTGAAAGAATGCGGGTGATGAGGGTCGATAAGTGGACGATCAGCCCGGGTAGGAATCGACGGTAGAAACCGGGCCCATCAAGCCCTGGTCCAAGGCGTGGAAATGCTCAATCAGGGCTAGGGCTCAGCCTAGGATCACCCCTCGTCACCAAATTATGATACAATAAAAATTTCCAAGCCGTCCACCAGGAAAATTTCCAAAATTGTAAATCGTCATTTTTTTCAGACATTACGGAAATGTTCGTCACCTAAACTATCCCCCAACTTTCTTCTCCATCAATGTCTTTCAATCCCCACACGGAGAGAAATATTCAATAAAAATTACGTCTTTTCCGGAATTCCAGAGCGAAATGTGGTTGTAGGAAATTTTACGGAACTGTCACGGAATTGTTCCAGAGCGCACTGAGCAAAATTTCAATGGTAATTTTAACAACAAGGGAATTGTCAAAGAAATTATATTTACAGTAACAATAAACTTTGTAGATAACTAGGATTCATCGTTCGATTTACTATGTCAAATAGTGTCATCCACATTATGCTGTCATTTTCACTTTAATGTAATAGTTGAATCTACAATATTTATTGTTACCGTAACTATATTTTTTTTGACAATTCCCTTGTAGTTGAAATTACCATTGAAATTTCTCTCAGTGCTTTTCGTAATTTTTATCTGAATCTCCAGTGAAAAATTACGATACCGTCACTTGAATTTTCTGAGTCCATTCCGTAATCGGTGAGTGAATTGAAGTTCCGTAATTTTTACTGAATATTTCTCTCCGTGCAGGTTTTTTCGATCCCGGAATTATTGACGGATTGCGCCTGGTTTTTCTCCCCACAGTTGACTCCTCACTCCGCCTCTGTTGGAGATACTTTATCAAGTTTGTCGTGTTTAACTCCTGGCAAATCCGATTTCGTGGAATATCAATGGTAAAGTCTTTTCAGTCTCTTCTTCCACGGTCCGGCAGGCATAATCATAAATTCTCACCGAGTTGAATAAAACGAGATTTCACGTACCGATGGGCCTGGATAATGGTCTGAAAGTGTTATTACAAATGCCCATGGGAATTTGATGCGCTGCTGGAGAATTAAGGACCGAGTGCTGGTAGTTATTCGGGATTAAACCTTCTGGGAGGCAGTAAATGTTAGCTGAACCCTTGAATGAGATCAGTTATGATTTCGTGCACTGCTGATAATTTTTGCAGGCATTCACAGTAAACTCTTTGGAAATTTTTTTCAAGCAGTTTCACTGAAATTTTGGGGAATTTCGTCATTCAAAATTCAGAATGTTATGAAAATATTAGAGTAAATTTTACGATTCGTTTGCCAACCCCCGTATGACCCTCATTATGATCCTCATTTTGCCCCCATGACCCTCATTTAGACCCTTCTTTTGACCCTTGAAGCCCTTCATCTGACCCTTAGTCTCACTCTCGTGACTTTTGTTCTGACCCTGAGTCTCAACCTCGTGACCATTGTGACCCTTATTTTGACCCTCATTCTAGCTCTCATTTAAACCCCTACGGCCCTTATTTAGACCCTTGTAACCCTTAATCTCACCCTCGTGACTTTTATTCTGACCCTTAGTCTCAATCTCGTGACCATTGTGACCCTTATTTTGACCCTCATTCTAGCCCTTATTTTAACCCCTGTGGCCCTTATTCTGACCCTTGTAACCCTCAGTCTGACCCTTATTTTGACCTTAATTCTAGCTCTTATTTTGACCCTAATTCTAGCCCTCATTTTGATCCTCATGAGCCTTATTCACACCCTTGATCTGACCCTTATAACCCTTAATTCGACCCTTGTAGCCCTTAATTTGACCCTCAGAACCTTGATTCTGAGGAAAGTAACTAATTTTCTGTGACAATTACAATTTCAACTAATTTCAATTTTATTTTATTCATTCTTTTTTATTCTATTTTATTCAGTGTGCAGTTCCTGGAAATTGTTATTAAGTGATAGTTCAAATACGACGACGAATTCAATCGAATTTTTTATAGAAAGCGCATTAGATTTTCAATTAAATATTTTCATACGTGAGATTTCGTGTAATTAATCATAAATAAACAAATTCGAATGCTCGATAGATTGAATTTTCCGAATAACCCCTCCGCCGCGGGATTTTCGCACAAAAATTTTTCGCAATAACCGCGATTTTGTTAGCGACCATCGCAATATTTTCTCATCAGTGTCCAATAAAAATAAATTAAAAAAACAGAATAAATTGAATAGTGTGTGAGTATGACTCACTCCATTCGATGCTAGAGTTTCGAATCATAAAAGCCAAGTGCTCATCATTCCGTCGGGTTTTCAGGTTGAAAGTTCATTTCGGCTGTTGACCTGAAAAAATTTGAGTAGACGGATTTGGGTCGAAACTGGATATTTACGAATTATCGAATTTTTGTTACGTGTCCAGTGGCTGTCCAGGGGGCAAACCCCTCATTGGTCGGAAAACTAAATACCGAATGACCCGCAAAGAATAGTTTGCAGACCAATGAACCCGAGCGACACGGCCTTCAGCCGAGGATGACGTTTTTTTTTTCATCCAATTTTCGATGCAGTAAATATCAGCTTGGGGGGATGAAATGACGACGGGGGAGAGGAAAAAAATGAAAAAAAAATTATAAGTTTGAGATCAACATTCGCGACCTAGTTTATATCGAGAAGAATTCGACGATTTAAAAAAAAATTATTCATTGATAATTCGGGAGTTTTTGAAAAATTGAAATTTCATAGAAGTTATTTTCAAGAGAGATACTGAACACGGAAAAAAATATATCTGAATTCAGTATATTATGTATTCGAATCAAGAATAATATACTGGAATAAAGTTTCTTTTCTGTAAATTAGTTTTAAGGGAGAAAAATCAAGAAATTTCAAAATTTGCAGAAACTTTTTTGAGCAGCAAAAAGACGAGAACTCCTCAGGTCACTTTAATTTTCGTCCCAAACGTGGATATTCAGTATTAAATTACGCAGAATATTTAATTAATAAAAAATACAAGATTATATTCACCTGAATTTTCCGGATTTCTATAGAATTTTATTGAATAATTTAACTTATTTGAAAATTTCGTAAATAAAGAAGAATTCGAGGATATTTTTTCAATTATTAATTTATAATTCTCGACTGGAAGAAAAAATTTCAATTTTATAGAAGTGTATTTTTAGAGACATTGAATTACGCTCGGAAAAAAATCAAGAATTTCAAAAAATTGCAGAAAATTCAGTGAAATGTTCAAATTTTTGAGGAGTTGAAAGTCAATAATTTCTCAGCTCACTTTAATTTTCATCCCAAACCTAGATGTTCAGTACTAAAAAAAATTCAAAATTATATTCCCCCAAATTTTCTAGATTTCCGTTAATATTTAAACTTAATCAGTTAATTTCCTACATTTATTCAATAAAAATAATTTTTTGCCGTTAATTTTCTATTTTGTCTGATGCAAATCATAATTTTTTTACATTCGGATCTCCCAATTATTCAATTATCCCGATTACAATAATTATTACTCATTATTTTATATCTGAAAAATTCTTCTTGTGCTCTAGAAATTCCAAAAAAATTCGCGATAATTCCGCGGTAATTAAAGCAAATAACAGCAAATCAGGGTATCGGAAGCACGAAACAGGGGTGGGCGTGGATGAGCGATAGAGGAGGGATCGATGGGGCTGGGGAGGCCCTGTAGTTGCCCAGGGAATGAATATGCATCGTCCAGTTCGTGTACTGACTTGAGAGTAGGCAGAAGCATCCCACCGTCATTCGTCCGTGTACGTTTCAACAGGTAGGAGAGGCATTTCGGTGGGGAATCAAGACCGAGAGTTGTTTGAGGGTGCGATCGATAGGCTCATGGCTTCCCTCAGTACACGAGGGAAAATATACAACGCGGCTGTTTATGCTCAGCTCGGGGCCTCGAAAAATCCCCACAAAATTTCAAGTCTTCATCGGCAAATTCACATTCACGTGAGTGAGGGATTTTACGACGTCGTCATGTCTTTCAACGTTTGGGATACTTTCGCGAGACTTTTCCAGACAGGA